TCCTCCCTCCCCTCCGCCTCCTCCTCCTCCTCCCCCGCCTCCTCCTCCTCCTCCTCCCCTCCTTATCCTTGCCTCGGACCACCCTCGCGTCCAAACGAAGAGCCCAGCGATGCGGAGCTACCGCGTGGGGTGTCCCGTAGCTGTCACGCTGCTCGAGGAGGAGTAGGGGAACAAGAAGTGGCATAAACAGAAAAACTCGGAGGTCCGCGCGGATTTCTCGGATAGGCGCTGGGGCCCCCTGGCGGCGCATCTGGCGCCGGCCCTGGCGCGCTCCGCGCGCCAGGGAGGGGGCCTCAGCGCCGATCCGATAAATCCGCGCGGACCTCCGAGTTGTTATGTTCATGCCACTTTTTGTTCACCTAAGAAGGCGCGTGGCATGCTTTGGGTTTTACCTGAGGAAGCGAAAGCGGGGTAGGTAATCACCCTCTGACAGAAACTGCATACAATTCTCGACCTGCGCGTGGCATCCTTGCACCGGGGGCGTGCGAATCTTCGCTGTATCGTTCCAGATGTAGGGGGTGATCCCCGAAGGGATCTACCCAGGAACCGAGGATTAGGTCGGGCACGTCTTCCTATAGGCGGATGTTGGAGGACGAAAAGTCCAAAATAGTCAAACATTCTCCAACGTGGTCGAAAAATACGTAATCAAAAGATCGTCCCATCACTATTGTTTAAAACTACTTCTGATTACTCCTCCTGTAGAGGGACACGCACGACTGAAACCGAGGAGGACGAGGAGGAGCTCTTCACGACCACGCCGCACGCCGACGCCTCAACCACGTGCATGGAACATCGGGTAGATGTTGGGCACTTGGGCGGTCGCGGCTTAGAAACAGATTCGAAATGCCGGGGGGGGCATTTGAAGGTCGCCCATCCTGTCGGGAGGCCATTTCTTGTGAGAACGCCGTGGCAAACACCGCGCTCTCACGGGCTGCACCGAACGCCACGTACTGCAGGGGTGAGCGGGAGGGCACAACCGAATCCAGGATCGCAGCTTCCAGGCGCGTTGCCCTTCTCCTCTGGAAGCGTTCGGAAACCTTTCGGGCTGGGGGGGGGGCTTGCGACCACCACAGGCCGGGCCCCGGGCCGATGGCGCCGCGGACCACCGCGCCCGTCACAGGAGTTACGGGCTGATCGCAGTCATCGTCGGGAGCTGTTGCTTGGCGTGTCGCGGCGGCAGCCGCGGCGGCGCGCCAGGACCTGCAAGCGGATCGCCTGCCGCTCCGCTCCGCGGGGCGGGGAGCTCGGAAAAGGCCAGGGACGTCGGCGCGCGGGAACGGGGACGTGAACAGCGCGTCGCGCCGGAGAGCGGTGGGCCAGGACAGGCGGCGCGACGCGCTGTCCAAAAGTTCCCGACCGTAGGCCTGCAACTGAGGCCATGGTCGCGCATCAGCTTTTCGCTCTCCCCATACACGACGAAATGCACACTTCAACAAACCTCCCACATCACATCCATCACGTCGCAGTGCAAATCCACTCGCGCTGACACTACGCGTCCCAGCGAATGACCCAACCATATGCGGCTTCGCACATCGCGGCGCATGTGAGACGAAGGAGGGGGCCAGCAAAAGGTCTGCGGCGTGGACGGGGGGCAGAGCGGGCATGGGCGAGCGGGAGGTCTTCCGAGCCTCGCGCGAGCCCCGGGCGCCACCGTACCGTGGCCGTGTCCCTGCGAACCGCTCCTCCCCTCCACTCGTCTCCGTTGCGCGTTGCGTTCCTGCCGCCTGGCCCGCGAGGGCCCGAGCCCCAGGCGCCGCCGCTGCGTGCCCACGTCCTTCCCCGATCTTTCTCCGCCTCTTGTCCCTCCGCCCAGGCGCGGCCTTGGGGCAGCGTGCTGGCGCGGCCTCCCCTCTCGACGCGCGCTGGCCGCCCGGAAGGAGTCCCGGCCACGCGCGCGGGGCGTCCGCAGCACGGAGGCGGACGACGGGCGAGGTGCTGGGCGGGGCGCGCGGGAGCCAGGCAGCTCCTGGAGATCCCCGCGACGCGCGCTGGTCGCCCCGAGAGGATTCCAGCGATGCGGGCGGGTCGTCCGCGACGCGAGGCCAAACACTCTGACAGTGGACGAGAGGCTCGGCTCGGGCGGGTTACGATGCGGCCACGGAGCGTATGAGGAGTGTCTCAAAATGCTGTGGGAGCCGCACGCGAGCCCTGTCTCTGGGGCACTCGGTGGAGCTCCCTATGGGGCCACGAAGCGTGCGAGGGATGTGACGAAATGGTCGGGCGGAGGGCAGTGGCAGGGGTGGGAAGAGGGAGGAGCGGGAGGAGGAAGGAAGAATAACGGAGTGACGCGGGGCGCTGTCTCTTCAGTACGACGACCCAACACTACAAGATTGCTTGGAAAAGTGTGAGACTGAGCCGGCACGAGAATGAAGGAGGAGCGAGGCGGAGGAGAAAAGAAAACAGTCGCTGTGCCCTCAATATAAATCAAAAACCACATGTAGTTCCCTGGCCATGCTCGCGCAATGATCCGATCGCTGCGACCTGAGATAGTCGAGCGCGTGATCTGCAAACCCTGATGTAAGCCCATGGCACACTCCACGATGCGGCCAGAGAGCTGAACGGTCCACCCGAGGACGACCATCAGGAGGAACGTCCGCACGTAGAGCCAGGGCGTCATGTCGACCCCGTGCATGGGGTCGTCGTCCTTGCCGTCCTTGTGGTCCTTAGGGGGAAGGACTCTGGCCCAGACACCCGCCTCCGCCTGCCAGCCTTCTCCCTCGCCTCCCCGCGTTCTCCACGTGGCGCTCCCGCGGCCGCGCACTGGCCGCGACGACCATCGGTCTTCGCCTTCGCCTTTCTTCCTTCTCCTCCGCGCCTCCTCAACCACCTGCTCCTCTTCGCCCTCTTCCGCCTCCTCTGATTCCCCTTCCTTCTCCGCCTCATATTCTTTCCCCCTCCTCCTCCTCCACCTCCTTCCCACCTTGTCCTCCTTCTCCCCCTCCCTCGTCGACTTCCGCCGCTGCCCCACCAGCCCTCCCGCTTCAACCTGCCGCCGAGGCGGTCCTTCTCCTCCTGCTCGAGCTGCGCCTTCGTCTTGGGAGGCGCGATGAGGTAGGTGACGTGCTGGAAGGCGGACGGGAGCCACTGCGGCACCTGACGGCGCAGTGAAGCAGGGATGGCCGACAAGGATGAGGGCGGGCCGGGGCCGAAGATGATGTGGAAGAGGAGGGGGGAGAGCGACAAACTACCCGAACGAGGCACCCTACTTGCAACAGGGGTGAAGAGGCGGGTCGACGAGCAGGTCAGTTAGTGGCCGAGGATGATGTGGAGAAGGAGGGGGTAGAGCGACAAACTACCCCAACGAGGCACCCTGCTTGCAACAGGGGTGAAGAGGGGGGTCGACGAGCAGGTCAATTGGTTCCGGACACAGGAGCGCACGGCCACGTGCGCGGTGGTGGTTTTCTTTTTTACGCGGGATCGGGGCCGCATGGACCCAACATGCGGCCGGCATTGACGAGAGGGCACGGTTCCTGAACCTCCGCGGCGAGGGCAGGGGGGGGGGAAGTGAGAAGGAGAAGTCCTTCTCAGAAGGCAGCGGGACTTCTTAGAAACCCTCGCGCCTCCTGAAGCCTTTCCTGCGCCTCCGGAGAAGGCTCAGGAAACTTCTCAGCTTATGCCTTGTGTCTTCGGGACAGAGTTAGGACACTTCTCAAAAGGTATTGTGTGTCTTCGGGGGAGGCTCAGGAAACCTCTCAGAAGACCAGGGGGACTTCGGAACCTTTTGAGAAAGCCCCTTCTCCTTCTCACTCCACCCCCTTCGCTCGCCGTCGAAAAAAAGCTGTAGAGAAATCGCACGCGAATTTTCTGAGAAGCCCCTGTCCTTCTCACTTTCCCCCCCGCCTCGCTCGCCGCCGATAATAAATGCGTAAAGGCATCTCACGCAAAACGGCAAGCGGACCGCCTCGGGACCGGGCCGTCTCGGGTTCCCCGCCCCCCCGGGAACTCTTTTTTTTGTTGGTGAAAAGCAAAAAAAACTCAAGCGAAACGTCATGAGGAAAACCGGAGAGAGGGGAGGAATGCTAAAAGGGAGGCGGGGCAGCGGATCCGAAGGAGAAGACACTGCCCGAGAGGAAAAGGAGGAGGAGGAAGAGGAAGAGGAGGAGGAGGAAGAGGAGGAGGAGGAGGAGCAAGATATCACCACGCACTCCTACACACAACCGCAACAGAACACGACCCCAAGCAAACCATGCTCCAAATCCACGTCAGCAAGACTACCACAACCATCACAACGACGACGAACCAGCGACCCTACAAACCACCACCAACACACCTGACTGACCAATATAACCAGACAACACAACAACTATCGACCACGCGCAAAAACAACAGCGCGCCAGCACCACCAAATACTACCTCACCCACGATCAAATGGTCATCATCCCACCTATTCATACTGGTACACCCACCACCACCCTCACTAAGAACACCCACCATTTACCAAGCAAACGAAGACATCAACTCCCACCAATGGATACAATGCTCTTCACGGCGACAGCTAACTCCACAGACGCTGGCAGCGCGACGCACGTACTTCCCGACTATTGCAGCACGAGCAATCGCCACACACCACGAAACAGCAAGGCGGGGAGAAAAGCAGATTCGCAACTTCAACCGACGCATCATTTTCGTCTTCAAGGTTGGTGACCCCGCGCTCCAGGACTACATCTCCAAGCTTCGTTCGTATCAGGCCCGCTACGAGCCCTACATCAACAGCCTACACGAACACACGCCTGGAGCACCCTTCAGGGAGCCGCCGCCCAACAACATTGGTAACACTACACAGAGCTATACCCAAACCCAAACCGACGCTCACCAACATGGACCAGTCTACGCAAACGATACGGCGACCAACATGTCACAGCACCCACTACTGGCTAGCATACTACAAAGGCTACCGAGACATTCACGACCAGTCCCCCCCCCCCCTGACCAATTACCGCAGGTGGACCACATCTGATCTCAGTAGAGTGCAGGCGCGCCCACTTGCAGTATGCTCTTCTGTGGCCCACTACTGCTGTGCAATATGCCTTCCCCTTCCTCCCTCACAGTTGCGGCCCGGCCGACACGCTGGTGGCGCTCTCTCCTACGCAGGTTCGGGGTAATCCTTCAGAACCCTGAGTCGCAGCCCACATATTGCGTGTTCCTTTCGGAAGGGTAGGCGTCATCCACAAAACCCTGTTGCAGCAAGCACCGTACACACTTCGTCACTGCCAGTATCATCTCACATTTTTCTTGCAGCCAATCCTTAATGGCCCTGCCCTTTGCACGGAGGCGGCTCTCTTCACCGCTGAGGGATACTCTCGAGGAGGATGGTGGCGCTGGAGGCGAAGCTCTTTCTTTCAAGAGTAGGGGTAAAACCACAGAAACCCCAACTGCATTAACACTTGGGTGCCTAAAGAGGTACACCCCAGCACCAGGCCAGCCTCCATACAGGCCAGCCTACTTATCAGCAGCCACTCTCCTCCGTCACTGTTCAACTGTCATTCGCCCACGTGTCCGACGCTCTGGTGGCACCTCTCTCTAGCTGAGGCTCGGAGTGGTCCTACAAAGCCCTGTACCAATAGCATGCGACAACGCAGCGCCACTGCAGCCATACCTATCGTTAATACGTGGTGCAACTTTGCCAGCCTCAAACGTATCCCGATCCCTAAGATTGACACGCCAAAAGGCGATGACAATCTTAGGGATTCGCCCTCAAAAAATGAGGGAATCCCTAAGATTGGCATCGTGATGAGGAGGTGCCCAGCATAGGGATAGGGATATGTTCCAGGCTGGTAAGCAACTGTACCGCTTCAGGCCGGCCCTATCATGACACAGAACGGCCTGACTCTGCTACCAACTCGCAACATATACCGTCCTAGGACTGGTACATACGGCAAACCGCCTAGGCCAGCCTTCGACGCCACAGGCCAGACTGCCAGACCGCGCGCAATCGACCTCTCCCCGCTCCCCCTCCGCGTACTGCGGGATGACGAATACTAAAAAAAATGAGGGGGGAACGATGAAGAAATAGCTTTGTGCCATTTCTGCACAAGTTTCTGACTGGAGGAAAACGATTTTAAAACATGATTGTCCAGCCCGCGGCCGGATTTTCTGATCGTCATCCCGGGCGCCGCCGCGTCATTTATTAACCGTCATCCTCCGCGTACATACCTTCGCTCCTGACGCACATGCGGCCGCGGCGGCCCCGTGCACCTAGGGGGCCGAAGAGCGGGCCTGCTGCCGGCTGGGAGAGCGGGCTCTACTGCTGGCAAGAAGGAACGCACAAGGCTTATTACAGTCATCGGCCTGACCTAAAGAATGATAAATAAGGAACGAAGCCCCTTTTTTCGCCCCAAGGAATAACGCATAAGGAACAATAAATAACAAATAACGCGTAAGGAACTGTAAACAACGCATGCAATCCCAAGGGACGACCGAGCCCCTTTTGAAAAGCAAAAGTTCCTTATTCAAGCCGCTCACTGTACGGCCAGTTTTCTTTTTCCCACGCAGCTTGCCAAACGGCGCGCGCTGGGAAGATGGGTCGGCGGGTGTTGAATGGAATTGGGCGGGAGTTGGGGACGCCCTAGGGCAGCAACTGCTCTTTGGAGACACAACGATTGTTTTTGCATCGCAGCTCTTACTTGCGCGCCGCCTCGGCCCACAGCATTGCCGGCAACATTGTTTCACTGGGCCCGATTGCAGCAACTCTTTTGGCGGCGCAGCGCCACGTCGTTACAGCCCACTTTCTGTGGTTGCAAGCACAGCGCACGTATTATGAAAAAGGCCACATTACACCTGTATCGCACTTCCTCTAAGGAGGTGGGGTGGTGGGCATGAATGGTGGCGGTCACGATGCGCCAACCGAGGTGGCGCTGATTGTTTGGGTGCCAAACCCTATGCGTGAAACGTTCGCCCGCGTGCAAAACGATCTGGCACCCTCTGTTCAGCGCGGCGTCGCCCGTGGCATAACATGTTACTTCTTGCCTGCCGAAGTGGCGCCACCTAAGAAATAATTGTATCTATATTGGGTTTCTAGCTACTTTGGGGGTGCTTGGCTGCTGACGCCAATGCCAACTTCGACGACCTCGCGGGCGCCTACTCGTTTCTACTTTTCTCTGCTTTACTTACTTCATTTTCCGCGGCGCCAGCCAGGTGCATCTTGGCCCGAGTCGCGCTACACTGCGCCGCGCAACAGGGGAACCCTAGGTCGGCCCAACGTAAAAAAAAAGAGGAACAAAAAAGAGGGGATGCAACAGAAAAGGCGGGGATCCCAGAAACGCCCGCAAGGAAGAGGAGGGAGACTGGGAGGAGCAGGCGAACAGCCAATATGACATTTATTCACGCCCACCCACGGTGCCCACCACGACAAAGGCGTCGAAATGCATGGGCACTTTGGTCGCGTGGGCCGACGTGGTGCTGACCGCGAACCAGGCTGCGAAGCGGGGGGACGGTTGTGGGGCCCGCGCGAAGAAATGCTCCAGACGCTGTCGACCAACGATTGTCATGTGAGACCAAATCGGTGGTAAGTTCTGAAGCCCCATGAATAGAAACACACACACACACCCACACCCACACCCACACCCACACCCACACCCACACCCGCACCCACACCCACACCCACACCCACACCCACACCCACACACACACCCACACACACACGCACACGCACACGCACACGCA